TAGATATTTTATTGTGTTAAATAATAGAAACAGAAATGTTTTAACTATATACATTTGGTCATCTCAGGAATGGAGGTTGTACAGCCATTCTGCAGACACTGGATGCACGTCTGTGCTTTTCGCACATTTAGACGAAAACCGGAACTGACGCAGGCTGGGGGCTAAAAACCTGATCCTGCCAAACCATCCCAGACCCCAGAAATCCCCTGCAGATCCTGCATACCCATAATCCCTCCCAGGGATCGTGCTTACGCCCCATCCTCCCACAGATTGTGCCTACCCATTCCCCACCCAAACCCCCATGGATTGAACCTCCCCCCTCAACCCCCCCTGCACAAACCCCATACCCACCCACATCTCCACAAATCCCATACCCACCCACATTCACACATAACCCCACATCCACCTACAGCCCTTCAGAAATCCCATACCCACCCCCACACCTCTCTGCACCCCCCATACCCACCACATCCCTCCACACACCCCCAATATATGAGTAAGATTTCATTTTTAGCTATTATGAAATCACATCTATATACATAGCACAAACACACAGAAATCAGGGTTTTTTTTTCAAATTAGAACGTTATTACGGATGTTTGATTTTTAGTATATAATTTTTTTTTCTGGCTCCAAGATGGCAAACCCTCTTCCCAAAAGAAGGGACTTCTGGTGGTAAAGGTCAGAGGTTGGAGGGGTGGGACTTCCAGTCCCAATAAGGTGACTAGGGGTGTGGCACAAGTCAAGGGACAGGGCCACCCTTGTGACCCTCAACAGCTCACCAAAACTGGTTGAGTGGCCCTCTATCTGAAGTAATTGCCCAGCCCTGGTTTAGGATGAGTGCTGGTTTTGTGCAGATATGTATGTTGGTCCATGGTTTTCTTATATATGGTGGTTTGTATTTTGCTGTTCTAGATATCATCTAAAGTACATTACATATACCAACATTGCACATAGAATGTAGTCTAGAGAAGGCCAAATTGGCCTGTTTTCATCACCCACAGGCCCAGATTACACAGAAATCACTTTAGTCAGATTTGCTTGGCTGAGGTGCTTTTCTTGAGAGAGCGTCCATGTGCACACATTTCATTTAAGATGGTCATGTGCCCATAAACAAGTGTTGTTTTGTTTAGTTTGTTAGACACCATATTTTATTAGATAACATGGCATCCTTAAGTCATAGTAAAATCTAAAATGTGGATAGTTATAGTTTTTACACTTGATAACAGATGAAGGTTAACATGACTAGATGCTTAGTTTACTACAACTTGCTAACATGGGTGAAAACCTACAAACTACTTTGTCCATGGTAGGGTCTTACCATGCTAATCAACGCACAGTAAAACAAAATGCAAGCAGCTATACCCTAATGAAAAAAAACACATCTGAGAAGCCAATGTAACTTTCCTATAACATTTTCATCCTTCTGTCTCAGTGTTGATGGATAAATTAGGTCAGTTTCTCAACTGTGTTGGCTCATTCAGATTACCTGAACAGAACTGAAAAGCCCTCCTAATTTTTGCATGTTAATAGGCATCAAGAGAGCTCTTCAGCTCTATTGAGCTTATTCATTTTACTGTATTAATCTAAGACAATTAAAATATATATTTTGTTCATCAATGCAGGGTATACATACCAATTCTTAACTCGCTCTTCTACTCTTGAGAACAAAAAGATAACTAGAGCCTTTTCTGGGGGGAAGGGCAGCATAAAAAAAGCTGCTAAGCAAACAAATTACTGACATAGATAAGGCTAAGAATCTCTGTGGATTGATTCATTTTCCCCATGAATAAATGCTTGGTTTTCTGTTTATTTTTTTTTAGTTGTAATGAAATTTAACTCATGTTAATTTGAGTGTGTTCTGTTTATAGATCTGCATAGAAGATGGACAGCTTTATAATGCGTTTTCAATCTAGGCTAATGGAATCTAGCAAGTATGAACAGGTGCACTTTCTAATATTAATAGAAATGTTAAAAGAACAAAATAAATAACGGAATATGGTCCATTTCAATGTCCCTGTAAGTAATCCTGGCTTGGAATCTGCACATCCTGGATGAGATCAGAAAAACAAAAGACCTTTCTGCTCAGCATAAACATTAAAAACCCTGGAGCATTTTTCATGAGAAAGTGTTTGGCACAGAGTGGTGATTACTATTTGGTTACTGTCTTCTACCGCAGATTTTGTTGCCATTTACTGGCACCACATGCAGTTTGTATAAAGCAAGTACAAAGCTCCAGCTGACTTCAATGGAATCCAGCTGACTTCTACAGACTCAAGACCATGTTATGAATTTCACTTCAGAACAACAACAGAATCCTGAGACCCACACTTAGGTCAAGTATCTTGAACAGTCACAGGTAAACTTGCAGCAGGGAGAACGGTTCTTCCTAGGTCATGGGGAGAAAGGAACGATTCTCAAGGGATATTGAAGTCTAGTTTCTTTAGTCTCAGCCGGCAAATGCCCTACCTCTAGCTGCACTCTACAATTAGACATATGGCATGCCTTGTAGAGAAGATTCCCCGTGCATCCATCTTCCCCAATACTGTGGAACCATATTTCTGCTGACCGGGAAAAAAGAGGTATATTCTGTCCCATGTGCAGAGCTGATGAGGAATCACTTTAATTAGTACTGTAGTTTTTCTTCTTTTTTTTTTTTTAATTTTTTTTTGTGAAATTCAAATTATTCTGTAATTTTACCTTGGTATTACAAGTTTTCAACATAAGGCAAATTATGTTTACAAGTCATTTGTAAAAATGTTGACTGCTATGTTACACAGCTAGTAAAATGTTTAAGAATGCTTCTTATGGTTTTACAGCTTTTTGATACTGTATTATGGAGAATACTTGATTACAAATATGAATGGTCACCATACAAATTTTGAGACTTGAGCTCTATTCCTGACATTGGGCAATGCTTATATTATCATTCTTCTTCACTGGTAGTTGCAACAGCAATGGTATAGACCAGTAGTGCCCAAGCTTTTCACTCTGTGAGCCCAATGGGTGGCACCAAATTCATCTACAGGCCAAATTGGGTGCTTGGCCCTGTTCTAGGCACATGGGTTGAGGGGGTGGGGAGAATGGGGTGGGAAGGGATGTAGCACAGCCCATGTCTAGTTACATGATGGGGGGTGACCCAGCCCCAATCCAGCACACAAAGTGGACACAGCTGGGGCCTAATCTGTTGCCTCAGTCTAGCTGCACAGGTGGCAAGAGGATGACCCAGACCCAATCCAGTGAGGTGGGGGGCATGCACCCCAGGTCCAATCCAGCAGCACAGCAATAGCTTGGGCTGAGCCTGAATGGCATGGTGCAGATTGGTAGTTTGGCAGCAGGGGAGAGGTGGCAGAATTAATTGCCAACATTTCCCTGCTGCCAAATTTTCTGGCCTGTGGCAAGTCCCACTAGCCAGATGCCTCGATTCTGTGGGCTAGATTTGGTCTGCAGCACAGGGGTTGAGTCCTCCTGATATAGATCAGTTGCTGATCTATAACCATTACAATAACATGATACAGTTGTCTAATACCTTCCTCTCTCTCTGTGGTGTTAAAAGAATCAATTCAGATACAATAGTGGTAGACAGTATACAAAAATATAAAAAAACCACAACCAAAGAATGATATAATATTGCACATATAAGAAACATGAAATACCTTCTGGAATTCAGCTATGTTCTGCTAAATGGACTCATGGCAATTTTAAATACACAGCATATATTTTTAATGTTATGCTTAATTTTTGTTATTTAATGCTCTGAACAAAAAGGGACCAATATTTCATTAACAAAAGTAATATACATGGCTTCTGTCCACCTTTCTGGATCTGGAACAATACTCCATGAAAATAGTGTTCCATGCTCTTGTACTACACAAGACTTTTTTTGATGGGTTTCCCTCTTGTTGCTTCAGGACAGTTTTTCATCATGCTAGTTTTACTAGTCAGTTGAGAAATAATCTACTGAAATGTTTTATGTAGGAGTTTGACAAACAATACTGAGAATGTCATTCAGTAGTAATTACTCTAATCCCTTCACTACTGCAGGACTGTGCATGCATGCACCTACTGAACTGTTAATACAATATTCTGTACACATTAAAATGTCAGAAGAGTACATGCATCCATCTGGAATTCTTGGCAGTGTCATTTCCATAAATATTCTACATTTAGCTCTTGCTTAGGGCTCTGTCTATACATGAACAAAAATAACATCTCCCAACCTTTCAGCATCCATTTGAAACCAGTATGATGTAACCTAGAACAAACAAAAGCCAAGACAGTAAAAACTGCCAAATGGGTGAGGTGAGCTTTTTCATTTTGGAAGAACATGGAGTGCTCGCAACATCTCATATCAGTATCCATCTCGTACATTAAAGCACTTTGAAACAATTTTAAACACAAATACCTTTCCTGAAAAACCGTGAGCTTTGAAACCAAGAGGACATTGAAGTCTAGAAGCTTTCACAGCCTGGGCACTCAGGACAGTAGGCAAACCTTAATCCCTGTGGTCTGGCTCCCCATCTGTATTTTAAAGCTTAATGTAGACACCTTTTTAAAACAGAGCTCAAAACTCCTTACATTTAAGACCAGTAAGAAGATCCTGGGACCAAATTTAAGACCAAATCATCCTCTCTTCCTTCCTTATTCATGGGACTTGAGTGGGATATCAAATGTCAGCATAAATCTAAAATGGAATTCTTAAAGGTCAAATATGAATCAGTGTATTTATCACATCAATCCCATTGAATACATCAAGATAGAATGCACAGGAATTGATAGGTAGGCAGAAGGAAAATTTAGAAAAATTAATCTGATTGAAGAAAAAAAAAAACAGCATCTAGAATTAATCAGGAAACAAGTATTTATGCTACCAAAAGGTCTGCTTAGAGGAAAAAGCAAACAAACAAACAAACAAACAAACAAACAAACAAACCAGGAAATAAGAAATTTACCAGGCTGGACATCTAGGCCAAATACAGACATTATACTTTTACCAGGATAAGTGATCAGAAACTGGTCTATAACCTCACCAGAACAGAAGTTTGGTGCACAGACTGGTTTAAAAATGGCGAAACCCAGTCTAAAATTTGCCCCCACCACCAAATGGTGAATGTGTATTCTGTTCACTACTAATCTAAACTATACTGCTTACAGAAAACTGCGTAACTTAGCTTGATTCTGCCTCAGGCTTTTTGAATGTCTGTACCTAGCCTTACACTTCCCTTTCCACATTTAGATTAGAAATTACTCTCTCTCCCTTCACAACATCTCTTTGTACAATCTCAGCAACACACTCCTAGCCTCAGATGGAGTTAATTCCAAAACCTTTTCTTGGTTTAAGAAAACTAAATATAGGCAGATAAATACTTTGTATGAACTAAAGTAAGATCTTTTCCCTTTCAGAGTTTATGAGCTTCCACACTAAAATTAGAAATAATAGAAAAATGGTCTCTTTCTTTTGCACAATGCAAGCGCAGTAAGAAAGCTTTTGGAAAAAAGCAAAATCAGGCCTTGTGTACGCTCAGTAAAGGCACCATGTTAGAACTTGTTTTAACATGCTGGTAAAAAATATTTTTGCCCTTATTATGGACTAGGTCTGTTATGTTATCAAAAATTCCCCACTCTGTCTCCCCTTGCAGTACAGTGAGTAAATTGCCATGACCATCTATGATGTTTTCAAATGCGACTTGTCCCCATCTGTAACCATTGCTAATTTCATTGACCATAAAGCCACTTCAAACGCGTTAGCTAACACTGTTTCTAATCTGGTACATCTCCCCTGTTTACATCTGGTCTTACTCAACCCCAAAGTCCTTGAGTACATTCTCAGAGACGCACGGTCCACCCTTCGTACCTGTTCCACCTGCCTTGGATACTTGCTGAACACATCCTACAAATACACACTCGGCAGCACAGCACTAGAGCTGGTCAGAAATATCCCAATGCAAATTTTTCCAACAGAAGAATCCAATACATCAAAATGTTTTTTAATATTGTGTTTTCCTCACACAATAAATATTGCAAATTTCAGCCAACATTCCTCAGCAGCAGACCCTTACAGAACAATTCCAGTTTGAGGTTCCCTAACCTGTTATCCACAGATAAGGGGACTCTGTGCTGCTGTATACGGAGGGTTGGCAGCCTCTGCAACTCTACAATTGCTCCTGACTGCCTGTTTTTTTATTCTTGGGCAAACTGTAACCGGGCTTCGCTTGTTCTCCCATAGGCATGGCATTAGCAGTTTACACTGCACAACACAACATGACCGTTACAAGAACAGATTCTGTCCAACTCTTACAGAACATGGGGAAGAGTGCAAGGAGCTATCTATGCCCCCCTGCCTGACCTACAGACACAGGAGGCAGGATTCTCTCTGGTGCTGTGTGCAGCACAGATCTACTCCCTTCTTGCTCCCTACTCAATGCACAGCACCAACTGGGATGTCAAGGCCCCTTCTTTCCATTATCCTGGAGACAACCAGCTTCATCACAGAAAAAATACATTAATTTGATTTTCCATCTATAAACTTACTGGGGGGACCAGAGGGGTTTGGGAGAGACTTTTTTGCCCCAAGTGCCTCCCAGAGTAACAAGGAATAACAGCCATAAGCTGCTAGAGTAGGTTTAGACTAGACATTAGAAGGCACTACTTCACAGTCAGGGTGGCTAGGATCTGGAGCCAACTTCCAAGGGAAGTAGCAATGGCTCCTACCCTGGGGGTCTTTAAGAGGAGGCTCGACATTCACCTGGTTGGGGTCATTTGAGCCCAGTTCTCTCTCCTGCCCAGGCAGGGGGAGGGACTAGAAGATCTACAATGTCCCTTATGACCCTACAAGTATGAATCTATGAATTAGTATACTCCTAACTGTTGAGGAGTTCAGGCTTTTCCCATTGTCCACAGTGTAGAGCTCCATGTTAATGATATTATCTAGCCCCAGGTAGTCCAAATGGCAGCCTACTGGCTGCATGCAATCCACAAGGGGTTAATTTGCATCCCCCCCCACCCTACACTCCAGCTGCTGCAACCCCATCACTCCCAGTCAGTCTCTAAGCTCCCAACTCCCTCTTCCAGCAGCTGCTTCCTGCCTTCACCCCAGCAGGCCAATAAATGCAACAGCCTGGGGAGGTAAGGGCAAGTCCAGGGCTGTGCTCAGGGGAGAACTGCATTGGGGTGGGAGTAGAATCATAACCCTGCAGTGCAGTGAAGAGGGGTACCCATGCAGGCATGCACCACAGTGTGGTGGGGGGATTGTGCTTATGTGCAAATGCAGCACAGCAGTAAGGGGACGGGGTGTGGGTAGGGAGCTGTACAGCACACCTGGCATGGCCCACACAGCTCCCAGGGGCAGAGAAGTTGGATTGTCCTTAATTATCCCATGAAATGTATGAATTATTAATTCAAACTGCTCTCTGTGCTTTACTTTGCAAGTTTAAAGGCTAAAAAATAATCTGAGTTTCAGGAGGGGTGGTAACATTAAACTCTCTTACACATACATGTTGCCCATTGATAACATTTACAGCAAACAGTTACAGGGTTGACAAACTTTGAAAATATTGTCATTCCGCTCAGTGGGC